AAGATCGGAGAAGGCACGGTTTAATCGTAATTATAAGCGAAATATCTCCCATTAATGCGAACCGTTTTAGGTGATAAGCGAGTGATAAGCCAATTTCACCGACCGACCGACGAAAGTCCGTGTTTCGCGATTTTCTTGATTTTCGTTTCGACAGAGTAAACGTTGCATCGCGAGTAAAAACGTTGTTGGAATTTATCGTTGACCATCAAGTGGAACAACGTTTGGAAATGGAAATATAATCGAAGAACGTGTCCAGTTTCGTTTTCTCACATCGTCAAGAATATTGAGATTTATTACATTTTCGATCGTGTTACTTTCCGGGGAATAGAAAAATTATTTCGATAAAAAATACTACTATGGTACGTTTATCGATGTTATTAAACCAGCAAGAAAAATATTTTGCATTTATCCGTACGCAACAGACTGGAACATTACGTATCAAATACAATAACCCGCATGAATTGCAAATGTTCAACTACAGATTTATACATCGTGGATATATTATCCAGCTTTATTATCATTTTTATTCGTAACGTGGCGAAATAGAGTATTTTATGCGCGAGATCTGCAATTTAAAACTTCCTAACCACCCATGATTTGTAGATTCCCTTTTTTATCTACCATTTTCCGTCCAAGATGATACGAGCCATTTGCTTCTGCAAATAAACCACGAAACTGAAAGAAAGGATGGTGGAAGAAACGCGACGCCCGAAGTAGGAAGCAAATGAATGATGATTCGTACGTAAAGTTCTCGTATATATATATATATATATGCAGAAACGACAATGAACCGTAATTAGAGAAGTCGAGATGCGAGATCGGGAAGATGGAGGAACGCCCATTCCGGGTAACGGTGGCACGAAGTTGGCGCGATGATTCCAACGCGTCACAATGATATCGGATTCCCCGATGCAGGAGGAGGCAGACGCGATGGAGTCTCTGAAAGGATTCCTCCATGGCTCGTTTACGAAGACAGATAGGGCGGTACGTTAAGGGGAGAATTGGCTGGTCGAGTCGAATGTAAATTTCGTTCCTGATTCGTGGCGCGATGCATACGTGGACAAGGAAGATAAGCAGAGTCGGTGGCGACCACGCGAACGAATGCCAGAGAGAGGATAAATCTTTCGCGAAATCGTGGTGAAACCATCGTGGTTCGGTGCTCCATGCTTGCGCAGACAAGCTGCGCCATGCTGGTCACCCTTATCTTAAGAACTTGAACTTTCTTCGAGAGAGAGAGAGAGAGAGAAAGGGGGGGGTAAGAAAGTAAATTTTATCCCCGTATTTCGAAGGATTCTCGTCCGTAGGGTGAAACGGTGCGAGATGGCGATGAAACCGCCACCTTTCACGTTCGATTCCATTCTTTCTCCGTTTCCGTTTCTCACCGCTCCGTATAACCGAAATCCTTTCAAATCACATACGTCGAATATTTTTACTTCGATGGAGGAAAAGAATCGAAATTGGATTTTATAGCGTAGCATTTTCCAAAGTAGATCCAACTAATCCGATAGTGGGATTGTCAGGTTCGATGCACTCGCTCGGAGGAAATTAGTAATCGATGATGTTACCTTTCCTTTCGGAATTAGATTGGATTGCATTAGAACTCGCGAAAAACGTATGATATTTTCACCTTTCTCCTTTTGTTATCAAATTATGTATATAAAAAATACACGTACCGTTTAAAAATTCACTTTCTTCGCAAAAAAAAAAAAAAAAAAAAAAAAAGAGAAACAACATTCAAAGATATCCCGATACCGAGAACAAGTTTACTTCACACATCACAAACGTAACGGAAAACTCGGTTTTATTTTGCACAAATCGATCGAATTCTTCGAAGGATGCACACACGAGGCAAAAACACGATACGATCAACTGATTTTCCACTCGAGCTACACTACACTACGTTCGCAAGCAACGAGAGCGTCGATCGAACGATACCTCGAAGGGCATCGTTCGTGCAACTCGTCCAACTGTTTCGAATCAACCACGACTCGACCACGGCCACCACGGATACAATTTTTACTGTCGATACGACAGCCAACGAATGAACTTGGACGCGTCTTAGAAAGCTAACCGCACGCAAATGTTAAAGACTACTGTTTAACCAGGAGGGCGGGTGAACAGCGAAAGGGAAGAGAGAAAAAAGGGAGAGAGAGAGAGAGAGAGACAGAGAGAGATAGGGGGGCTCTATTCGGGGTAGGCGAGTATTCCACGCGGCTGTTGGCGCGTGCGCGCGCATTCACACGCACACATCGTCACACGTCGAAAAGTGTGCGCTACGCCAGTGTCAAATAGAGAATAATCCATTTCCACGAGACACAGACTCGAGGCTGAGAGAGATGTCACGCGCAATTTTAATAATTTTTTATATTCGATTTCCTCGAGATTTTCACACCCGTTCGATTTAGAAACGAAGATTCGTAACGTCAGTTTCAATGCTCGCGTTAATAAAATATTTTCATAATTTTAGAATTCGTTGGAAACGTATATGGAAAACGTAATACACGTTTATTTAAATTTATTTCTTCCAACTTCGAAAAATCGAAATGGAAACGAAAAGTGTAAAGCGATTGAAACGTTTCGTCGAAACACGGTTTCCCCATCCATTTGTCAAAATTTGAACGGATGGAAGCCGAAACCAGGACTTACTAACCGTTTAGAAAACCTTCCATGGACGTTATACTACTTCCGTCGTATTTCGGGACTGGCGGGCTTCCATGGATCGCCGCACGTTGCACGCCTTGGTCATTGGCCGTATTTTGCCATCTGCTACCGTGAAGCGTGGCCGCGTGTTTTGTTTTATTCGAGCTACTAGATACTTTGCATTTTTAAAGAATTTTTAAGAAACTTTTAAGAAATTTTTAAGAAAAGAAGAGATTAAATTTCGATGGAAATTACATTTTGGAAAGTAATTTGGAAAAATCGTATCCATCTGTACAAAATTTGCAATTAATTTAAAAATCGATATTCGATATTCACGGAATAATTGTCATTGATGAAAGAATATCGTTCGACAGGTAAAGATTTTCCATCCTTGAAAGAATGAGAAAAATCCAATTTCCTACACTTGACGTAAATTAACGTTCGAATTTATTTCGAGAAATAAACATGAGATTACGTAAGAGGAAGTAATTTTCGACATCGATAGAATCACAGACACGTGACAACTCGATAATTCATGACCACTCGCAACTCGATATCATCTCGCGTTTTTCACCCCTTCTTTTCATTAAGTTAAGACGAACGCGATACGATTTTCCCTAATACCACGTCCATAAAAAGGAACGGCGATACGAACCGTCGTTATATTTCTCGGTTGGACACGCCTACGAACTGGCCCTGTTTCGATCAAAGATACTTCGATCGTTCGAGAAATTCGCCAAAAGGCCTTTCTCAAATTCTTCGCGTTCCCTGCACGATTAATCCTCGCTAACTAACTAATCCTAACTAACTAATTTCCTTTAACGCCGATGATGATTTCTTCTTTTTTGAAAATCGACTGGAAAAATCGAGGAATAAGAAAAGGAGAGAAACATCGAGGAAGAAAGACGAGATGAACGAGACGGGATGAACGAGTAAAATTTCGATCCAAGTGGATGTCACCGAAATAGAAACTAGAATTCGATACGCCGAGCGTACAACGAACCGGATTGAAATACGATTTGAAGCGACGAGAATCGGTGAAAAATTAAGTACGTCCCGGTTACGATGGATCGATAAGTCGAATTTCGGGGATTTCTTGTTACATAATTGAGGAGACGCGACGTCCGCGAGAGGAACGGATGGAAAGGAACGAGTGCTTGATACGCAGCGTGATTCAACGAGCGAACTCATCGAAACGATCACCGCTAATCATTTAATTCCGTTTGGAGCGGGAAGACGAACGAGCACAGCAGCGTGGTACAAGCGTTCTCTTCGTATCGATCCGGTTCTTCCGCTTCGACCAAATTCGCGTAAACGCGCGAATCATTGGACGGAACGGCGTGGAAAACGGCGTGGGAAAGAGATGGAACGGAGAAAGAGAAGTGGAAAAAATATAGAAAGAGAGAAAGCGAGAGTGGGAGAGAGAGAGAGGGAGAGAGAGAGAGAGAGGGAGAAGGAGAGCGCGATCTCCCGTTCCGACTTCACGTGGCTTCTATTGATTTACTACTACGAGGCGCTGCTTTTGCGAAAGAACCGCAAAGTCTCGTAGAGTGAAAAGTTCGCCGGCGATCGATCCGCGCTGTCACTCGGAATCGTATCCTCCCCGTTGTCTCGCGTATAATCATGCTAGCACCGCAACAGTCTGCTCCAACGGTTCAGTGACACGATGCGCTATACCGACACTGCTTTAGACTGGCTTCAGGGAATCGACACCGGCTGTTTCCGCAACGAAGCAACATCGTTCGTCTACCTCGTCGTCGCGTTTCACCTTTCAATTTATATATCGTTCTTCGATCGTAAAACTTATTTCATCCATTCACGAAAAAAGAGAGTGGATAAAATCACGAAACGACGTTTCAACAGAAGTTACGATCTCTCTCTCTCTCTCCCTCTCTCTCTCTCTCTTTCTCTCTCTCTCTCAGCAAAAATTTCTCGAACGTCTATTTCGTTCGAAGTTTAAAAATATATATATATATGAGAGCGTAGGAAGACATTGGGTCAAAGTGTGTCACAAGATCGCGTAAGAGTTCACCTGCCGTCAGAGGGTGACAAACACCAAGGACAAGCAAGCGAGAAAGAGTAAACGTGTAGGTGCGTGTGCGTGCGTGTATGTGTGTGTGTGTGTGTGTGAGAGAGAGAAAAAGAGAAAGGGAGGGGAAGAGAGATAGTAGGCGAAGGGGTGGAAAAACGAGCAGGTCGCAGGCCGCAGGGCGTACGGGCTACATCCGTACCTCCTTACTTCGGCAAAATCAATAACCTGTTTGGGGGTGTAGGAGAGAACCTAAGGAGAGAGGCCATAGCACGGCACCGCCGCACTAGGTAGCACTATGAGAGAGCCAGGTGTATCGTAAAATACGTACGCGAATGTCCAGGTGCGAATGTCGAAGGCGTCACTTGCCCCGGAAACGCTCGTGATCGTGTCGCGTACGTAACCGGCACCACCCCCGAATGTCCTGGCACCTGGAAACGTTCGTTGAATATCACTGGCCAAACTCCTCCGACTCCCCCGATCGGTACGACTCCAACGGAAAACGAAACACGTATATATATGTATATGTATGTATATAAGTATATATACGTACATATATATATATATATATATATTTTTACTGACACGACCGGCGTTCACAAATGTCTAGCTCGCGAAAAAATATATTTCGCAGGTTCGATAACTCTGTAACGTTTAGCCGTTGACACCAGGCAGCTCACCCCACACGCACCGGTCTACGATATCGAGGTTGGAATCCTTGGAAATCTTTTCTCCGGTAACTCAGAATCCTGCTACGTTCGCACTGTCAGCAGAGGTCTCCCCCTTCCAAACCCTTGCGCCTCCTGTTATCATTGCCCACCACCTCGCGGATAGAGAAGGAACGTCTCGCGATCCGAATCGCGCGCTCTTCTCCACACCTAGGGAAAACAGAGAATTCACCAGCCCGACGACGCGGAACGCGACGAAATCGGGACGGATCGCGTCCACCGTGGGTGGACACGGGTTGAAACACGGACGACTTTTCCTCTCGGATCCGACCACTGTTATCCCTCCCTTTCGACAGAGAGACGAGTTACCAAGAGACGGAGAAACACGGACGCGGCACGCGCGTTTCGAGCTGTCGCGGCTGTGGGGCGCGGACCACTACCTCGACGAGCCTCCCGGATCGTTGGATAAAACTCGGTGGGGCCGTTCCGGTCGGCGTGCGAACTCCCCACTCTCTCTCTCTTTGCCCCTACCACGCACGCCACCGTCCCTTCTACTTCTCTCTCGCTTCTCTTTCCTCTCTTACTTTCCAACGGCCACCCCCACCTGCGCTTTCCCGACCATCTCCTCGTCGCGACGCCGTCACCCCTCGACCCTGCAGGGTGCGCCCGCGCACCACCACCACCACCACCACCACCACCCATGCACTTGGCCCGTGTGCCGTTACCACCGCCGTTGACCGACCGCGTCATTCGTGCCAACGTGTGCGATCGGGGATGGAGATTAGACGATGCTGCGTCACCGAGCAAACGTCCGTTTAGGAGGAAGGAAGCGTCGCCTCGCTTGACCCTGGCCCGTCGATCCACCACAATTATCGAAATATTTACGCGCGTCCACCGTTGCCGATCGATCCATCCGAATCTCGATTCATCGAATGCTTCCGATTCGCCAAGATTCGCGTTTATAACTCGTGAAATATCGGTTCGATGTGATAAGATTGCCGAGGGGATGGAGATTGATGATGGTGCGACGCGATCTTCCTCGCTGCTTCGTCCTTCCAACGTCCCGCTATCGTTTAAAGAATTCCCATTCCGGTTTATAGGCGGATAAATTTGGTCTTACGTTTAGGATCGTTACGATAAGTAAGACGTAAGTATTAAGATTAATAGTTGAAAAATATCCAATCTTGTTAGAACGTATACTTTATTCGATAATCATATGTAAACGGAAAGAAAAAATTGGAGGATAAAATATATCTTAAATATTCTTCCGTTGGTTGTACAACTGGTTCAACTGAAACGAATGCAACTGGAAAATATTTAGTAAAATTCGTAATAAAAGTAATTAGTTTTTCTAGAAATTTTTTTTATATATTTTTATATTTGTAACAAATTAAATTAGCAACAAATCGAATTGATAATTTAAAAAAAATAATTTATATCTGGAAAATACATTAATGTGATAAAAATCGAATTATCAAAACAATGTTAATAATCAAAATTATTTATAATCTTTACCTTGATTATTAGGATCTTCGTTTCAGCTATGTTTTACGAATGATTTTGGGCAAAATTGTAAATGTTACTTCAAAAAACGCGTTAATTCATCAACGCAACACTAATTGAAAAAAAAATTAAAACAATCGCGATATTGTATAAGTAATATTAGAAACACCATGAAATAAATTCAAGTTCGAATAAAAAAAAATTATAAGAAATCATATTAATTTATGATCGAAGAAATTAAAAATAATTGCAAAATTTTTTATATCGCAAAATTAATTTAAACCGAAATTCTTTTTCTCGTAACTTTAACTCAAACCGTAATTTATTCATCGCAACATTAATAAAAAATCGCGATTTGCCCACGACTAGACGATGACTGAATAATGATTGGATAATGACTAAATAGGCCAGCATGCAAATCGGCCAGACAATGCAACATTTACTACAATATTACTAAAACGAGCACAGTGACAAAGTAGTAACAATGGCTTCCCATCCTTTGGATCTAAAGAAGATCCAAAAGATGAGAAGCCATTCGTTGCAGCCCTCTTCGTGACAATTTGTCGGGCCTCTTCTTCCTTCTTCGAGCGCAATGCCCGCTGAAACTTAAATCTAGGCTCGAGATTTCCTATCCGAATAAAAAAAAAATCGCGGAATCTAAAAGCGGAAGCATATGGACGATCAACGATCGCAGCGATCATTGCCCGTACATGTGCAAAATCTCGAGCGCAACGTTCGTTTCGAAATTTCCTTCGCGATCACGACCGCGAAATTCGAAAAATCGATGAGGAAAATCAGAAACAAATGGCATTCGTCTTAGCTCTCGATTTTTCAAATTTGATTTCCTGAAACAGGTTGCCACGCGAAAACGCGCCTACCCGATCAGAGACTGTGACAACCTGCCCGGCCCTACCTACTTATAATTAATATACCACACCAGAAACATACTACCTATCCTACCTAGCCCTATATTTAAAAAAATGTCAAAACAGGCACACCAACACACTCATTCCACGATTCTCACGCATAACACTCGGGCGCAAAATGCCTACACTAGGGAAAGCGTCCCGGGACGTCTCCGACACCCGAGCTTGACACGCTACTTTCATACTCTAACTTTACGTACCATTTTTCCTGAAATCGATTGACGAATGTTAGCGATCATTGCGTGAAAGCCAATCAAATTTCCTACATATATATGCTAATTTTAATTGTAAATATTCAGATCAATCCAAAAAGTAATAGTTAAAACGACGCAATTCCACAACCTAATGCCACACACACACATATACATACAATGTGGAAAATACGTCGTGCACGATACACTAAGTCATCGTCAATCGCTTAAAAATTATTATTATTAGCTTATAAATTAAGTTCATCATGCCCATTGTCTCTCTCCCACCCAAGTAACGCCTGGGCACGTGAGTGAGATCCTGACATTGGATATGGAAAGGATTAAACCTGAAAATCCTGAGCTAAAAATAGTATAATAATATATTTGTTTTTATCTAACGGATTAATTTTCTTAATATTGATTTTACTTCAAACTTTAATAGATGTATTATGAATTCAATGAATTATGTACTAATAATTTGTTAATTTATTATTAATTAAAGAAAAATATATATTATAAGAATAAAAAATTCATTTTGTGACAATTATAATAAGAAAATAATAATAATAATAAGGAATATTTAATTATAAATGAAATATTAAATGGAAGCAATCCTCAGGCGATCTCTTCATCAAAGCATATTTTCGAAAATACAAAATTAGCATTTAAAACTTTTAGCTTTGATTTTGAAATCTACCTGCCGCGAAATATCTTCTTGCACATAAAATTTTATACATTTCTATACGAAGGAAATAGAATTAAATTTATATATTTATTATAATAATTAAATAATTAAATCCAATTACATTATAATGAAATAAAAAATGAAATTAAAAATTTTTTAATAATGATAATATACATTATCATCATTAATCTACAATAATTAAGATTTGCAACGAAATCAGAAGATATTCTGATTTCTTTACTAAAAGATATTCGATCAAAATTTAATTTAATTATATTAAAATTTATATAAAATTAATTATCAAAATCATCAAAACACGATATGCAAGAAAATCCTATCCTGATCTAATAAATGAAACACAGAAGTAAATGTTACTACTCATGGGTATAATTACTCATGGTCACTGTGCTCGTGCAAAATACTACGTATACAACCAGTCATTCGTGTCGATTCGGATCTTTCATCCTACAACATGATTGAATGACCAGAGGAATCAAAACGCATGCGACTCACCTAATGATGCGAAAAACGTCTTTATTCAAGCAGTCTTTATTAAGAAGAAGACTACTATCAAATAAGAGAAGTGGAAAGAAATCTGTAAAAAAAAATCATAAATTAAATTACATTACATTTTTAATTATTTGAAAAAATTGAAATAATAAATATGAAATTATAATAAAATTATAGATTTATAATATAAAATAATATAGAATAATAATATAAATGAAATAATACAAATTGAAATTATTATTAATAATTAATTCTAATAATAATAAAAATTGAAGCTTTAATATAAGAAATTGAAATTTAAATATAAAAATTTTTAATGCTTTTATATTAACAAAAAAATAAAAATTTAAATTGAATTAATTACCTCTTCGCGTGATGAATAATCGCCTAATGTTCTTGCAGCACTTGGGACACACTCTAATTTTATAAATAATTTAAAAAAAGAAAAATAAAATTTATAACTATTAACACGTCCGTTTAAATTGTAATCGGCAAAGAAATACTGATTTTATTTTCGCGTTTCATATTTTTAATTAAATTTAATTAAAATTATTTCTAATACGTAGAAACTACTTCATGAAACACTGACTCTAACGACTGTATTGCGCACAATCATAAAACAAATTTTACCGCTTCTTAATGGCGTCCATATTGGAATTTTTCCTTCTTCGAAATTACATCAGTAATCAATTATTAATCTACGAAAGAAAACATACATTTTCAAATAAATATATAAACTATATTAAAATAAAATAACAATACATAAATAATAATGTATAAATTCTGTCTTAGAAAGGTATAATGTGTATTATCTGTAATTCTAACCTGCAGTCCAAAGAATAGACACGTGAACAAAGAAAAATAATTTAATCACCAAAGAATTTTTAACTACAAAAAGCAACATGTATATCGATTGAAAAATAATATACAGAGAAAAAATAAGAAGTAAACACTAGCAAACAGAGCAAATGCGTCACACAATTCAAGAAAAAACGACACGTCTAAACAATCCAACTGTCGATGTTACAATGACACCCCGCGCCGCGATTTGGAATTAAACGAATTAGAAATTAGAGTGGGGATATGTTCGACAGGTTGGAACATGTCGAGCGTGATGCGAAATAAAGTATATACGTATATTCCTAACATATATATCGATAAAAATACATATTGAAAAGAAATACATGAATAGAAATAATTTAATTAAATATTTAATAATAAATATTTAATAATAAAATAAAATTGATTATAATAAATAAATTATTATACGTTCGTTTCAATGAATGATTCGATATGATCGAAAATGTCGACATGAATATAACGATAAATCTATTCAAAATTTATTTATTTATGAAAAGAAATATTATTAAAAGAATAAATATTATTAAAAGAAGAAATTATTCGATATAGAAGAAGAAAAATATAGAAGAAGATATAAAAAAATTATCGAATATATGCGTTATAGAAGATACTATAAACGATTAGATATTTTTTCGAAGTCATCTCGACGTAATCGTACGATAATTTTTATGTAATAATAAAAATCAAAATTGTAAAACAAATATGATTAAAATTATCTTAAAATAAA